GCACATGGCTGCTGCGGTGTATGTACACCGGCACTGTAGTGCTCCCAAGTCTTGTGGTATACACGGGCGGTGCGCTGCACACGGGTGTTGAGGTGTACGCAGGCGCTGTACACGCGCGGTGTGGTGCACGCGAGCGTTGTGGCGTACGCAGGCGCAATGGGCAGATCGCCACTTACATGCTGCTCGCGTCGTCGTCGTCGCTCGTCGCTCGTCGCGTCGTGCGCGCGGGCGCGGCTGTGGTGCCGGAGCCACATGGCGGGGGGGGGGCGTCACGTCATACCCCCCCCGCCCTCCCCCCCCCATGACGCCCGTCATCGCCGAACAGAAAGAAACGCCTTCCGGCATCAACGATGATGTCAATTTGTATTTCTATATCCGTCTTCAATTTCAATTCCCTCTATGCGGCGCGTTTAGTAGCTAATTAAGCCGCTTGCGTGTCCCGGAGCGCTTCTGACTCCGTCCGCTAGCGTTCTTGCTGGTGGACGCGACCGAAAAAGTATCCCCACTAGCCCGTCCAGAAATGAGTCCCAGGGGGGTGGAGGTGATAAGGGAAGCGGGGGAGCACGCAGAAGAACAAAGGGCGGAGTAAGCCGCCATATACCCCAAGAGGGGGCGGATGTAGAAGGAGTCGTCGTCGGAGTAGGAGGAGGAAGAGCAGGAGGAGGGGGAGGAGGGAGGAGGAAGAAAAAGAGGAGGAGGAGGAGGAGGAGGAGGAGGAGGAGGAGGAGGAGGAGGAGGAGGAGGAGGAGGAGGGCCCGTCTTGGTGCGGTCTCTCTAGGCCTCTTGGAGCATTTTGGGATCCATCTTGAGGCATCTTGAGCCATCTTGGAGGTTATCTTGGGCTCTCTGAGGCCCTCTTGGAGCCGTCTTGGGCCATCTTGGACGCCCCAACGACCCGCGCAACCCTCCGTCCGGGTCCAGGGGAGGGGGTAAGGGGGGAAGGGTAAACCCTTCCCTGAAGGGGAAGAAGGGGGTTGGAAGAGGAAACTCTCTAGACCACCGACGCTCAGAGGGCTGGTGGGATTTGCGCCGCATTCTTGTCATACGCGTGATTTCGTGGTCGTCACGCCACCCTGGGCGCCCTCCGGCAACTTTTTCATGCCACCCCGCGGATTCTCTCTCCAGTTCTCAGGCGGACGCGGGGCGAATGGTCTCCATCCTCGCCCCCCTGGGCCCTGGGCGTGGTTAGCCAAATCATCGTCACATCGTTGAACGTCAAGCGTGTCGATGTAGGACTGTTGGTCCCCGGGTGCGAGGGCGCACTGCCCCTCACCCCCGCGACGCGCCTCCACCTCGGAAACAAAACTGGCACCGATCGATGGCACCACACGCTCCGCCGGTGCGCCGTAGGCGCCTTCTCCGAGTCCCCGGGCGTCTGGGACGCATGCGAATTTCTCTCAAGGGACCTTCCCTTGCTCGTTTTGGTGTTACGACGCGTGTGAGGGGTGCGCCGACATCGGCGGGGGGGACCCGTTCCAACAGCGGCAGCGGAATTATCGGTAAAGCTCCTTTCGGGGCATTTTGCGCTCAACTTGCGGGATGGCCCACGAAACCTTAACAGGACCTTTGAGTGGTCAGTTCCGGGCAGCCCCCGCGTGGGCCGGGCACGTGCCCCCCCATCCCTGCCCCGCCTCTGGGCGCAGGTGGCACGCGCAAAGGCCCCCGCGTCTCTCCGTAGTTTTGCTCAAGGCCCGCGCTGCATGGCCACGCCCCCCGCGCCAGGCCGCCCGTGACGCGCGGGCTCGCGGGGCATGGGCGGTCCCCAGAGGGCCTCGGATGCGGACCCGCCAGAGGCGGCCGCGGAAGTGGGCGACGCACGACGGGACCTCGCCTTCCTCGACGGCTCAGGTCGCGCGCAGCGGGGCGCGCCGACATCCCCTTGGAAGTGATTGCGGTCGCAGACGAGGGCGAGGAATACCTCCTGTGGACTGTGGAATCCATGCGTTGACTGCGGCCTGCGCGCCGGGTGCTTCTGTGACCACTGCTTCGCGGCCGAGCGTACGCCGCGGGGGCAGTGGGTCGGCGGGCAGATGACGCCGCTGTGCACGTCACGCGAATGGCAACGAGGGCGGTGCCACTTCTGTCGGGGGCTAGCGTGGGCCGTCCCACCATCCTGGGGGCCACTCCGACCAGGGGCGACCGCTGCGACGGCTGCTGCGACGGCTGCTACGACTGAGGGCTGACCGCCCCATAGTGCCACAACACAGCCCTTCTTAGGCTACGTGCCCACCCCTCCCTGTCCGGCCGCGGCCGCCACTCTCTTCTTTTTCACACCTGCGACTGGCGCGGGCTTTGCCGCTGCGCGGCTTTCCCTGCCGCGCCCTCTTCCCCCCCCCCCACCCCACCTCTCCCCCCCATCCGCCTCCCCCCCCTGCGGGCGGCTACCAGCAACCATGCAGGGCCTCTCGTGCGCCTGAGGACTTTGACGTCTGCTGTGCCTCCCTGAGCGCACGCGCGTCAGGTGCGGCCCACCCTTCTTGCCGGCCCTTGGGTTTGCAGACAGCCGACCTTGTCTGTGCGCCCGCGGGCTGCACGGAAGCTCCCTGGTCTGTCCAACTGCGGACCTGAAGACGCCCCCGTACCCTGCTTGGCCACCCAGCAGCCGGTTGTCAGGGCCGCACGTGCCGCGTTCCGCTTCGCGCAAGGGGCCCCCCTGCCTTGCGGCACCGCCTCGCCTGTTTAGCAGCGCTGGTCACTGTCCTGGCGGTGGGGCTCAGACGCCTGACCCAGACAGCAACGACGGGCATGAAGTGACTCTGTCCGTTGCCCCCCGACCTACGGGTGGGCTCCTGGGCCAGGCTCCGGCATGCGCCTCCCCTGGCGCTCCCCGGACCCCTAGCTCTTTGCGCTGCTGGTGCGGCCCACGCCCCCAGGGTTCCAGGGCTCGCCCTGTCACTCGGCCATGCGACCAGCGGCTTGCTGGCATGCGGCGCGGCCCTCGCATCCTTCCCCTGCCGTTCGCCCCGTCGGGGGCTCCTCCTGTCGCTTGCCCCTGCCACGCTTGTCACCCACGTCTCTCCGCACCCTGCCCTCATCATCGCCGCCTGTTTCACGCCCGCCTCGGTGGCGGCCCTTCCTTTTGCCCCGCGCGCACCTGCTGGCGCCTGGGCTTGCCGCCCCAGCAGGATCCTACGCGTGAGTGCTCGCCGGTGCTGTCCGGGCGAGATTTATTAACGGGCCTCGGCTGGCCCCAGCGCCCCTCACCCTGCGCGCGGCTAGTCTCGACAGTGCGGAGACGGACTTGCCTCCCCGTGCTGTCACTGCGCAGCTGAGCGGCGTGCAGTGCAGACGGGCACTCCTGTCCGTTAGCCTGCCTGCCGGATGCTCCACACCCGCGGCCTGCCTCAGTGGCGGGTCGCGTTCCCCAACTGGGGCTCCCCGTGGCGCCCCAGTCGCTCCCCCCTCTCCGCTGCCCCCTCGGTCGACCACGACCACGGGTGCGCCCGGTTGGTCGCCCCGGGAAGCGCAGGCGGCCTCCCGGCTCGCGAACCTGCGACCCTGGGCGTGCGGGCGGCCTCCCGGCGCGCAAACCCGCAGCCCGCTGCGCACAACCAGGGCGTGCAGACGGCCTCCCGGCGCGCTGCAGCCCTGGCCGTGCAGGCGGCCCCCCGGCACTCAAACCTGCACATTGCGCTCCGCCCGCGAACACTGCGCAGCAGAGATCGCCAGCCCACGAGTGCCACGGCTTGGCCCCCTTGGGAGCGCCGCCGCGCCCGACGGCCGCCCGAATCAACCAACCTTGCCAACCAGCCACACGAGCGACAGCAGCTAGCAACACGGCCAACCATCCCGAGCGCCAAGGCACCCGCGGGACAGGGAGGCCGCCAATCAACCACCAACACAGTCGAGCAACCGAGCAGTGAGGAGGAAGGACGAGGATCGCCTGCCCTCCAGCAGCGACTAGGCCGTGAAGATCCCCGTCTTTGCGAAGAAGCGGAGAGGGGCGAAAACTAAGAGGCCCACGCGGGCCTACCCTGAGATTGTCGTGCCCCGCAAACCGCTACGCGGTTTGCGGGCTATCACAAATCATCGATTTCCGTTAGATGTTTGAAAGATTTAGGCATTCTCGCCTTGTCAGCCTCCCGACGCTCCAAGACAGGCCAAGAGGCCCCTAAGACTGCCCCAAGATGGCCCAAGAGGGGTCCAAGAGACCCCTCCAAACGACCCAAGGGCCCCAAGACCGTCCAAGAGGCCTCCAAGACAATCGAAGAGGTTCCCAAGACGGTTGTCAGAGGGAGCCCAGACGGAAGACCCGAACGGACATTTCGAGCCCTCGGCTTGAGAAGCTCTCAGGAGACCCCCAGAGGCCCCTCAGAAGCCCCCCAAGAAGCCCCAAGAGGCCCCCCAAAGACCCCCAGGAAGCCCCAGGAGGCCCCCACGATGCTCCCAAGCAGCGCCCAAGAGCTTCCCAAGAGGCACCCAAACTACCCCGAGGAGGCACCCGAGAACTTTGTCGTTGTGGTCGTGGTTGTCGCCGCCATGAAGGGTCGGCGGCACCAGCCGTAAAGCCTTCGCAATAGTATAAAGTACTCAAACATAAGCGAACAATAATCGGCAAACGGTCACCAAAATACTTTTTGACTATTCTTGAATATTCCTCCTGTAAAGGATCACGCCCGACTTAAGCCAAGATCCCACCCTAGAGGCCTACGCCGACGTCGCGGACGTATCGCCGACGTCGCCAGTGCATGGCCGATGCATCGGCGATTCGGCGCGATCCTCCGACCCCGTCTAGGACCCCATCTAGGAGGCCTAGACGCACGCCAGCAAGCGCAACGGTAAACCCGCAGGCGCACCCGCCCGCAGGCGCAACGGTAATACAATAAATACGGGCATAAACATAAACTGTTGGCGCTCCGCGCGGATTTCTTCGATCCGCGCCAGACCCCCCTGGCGCGCGGAGTGCGCCAGGGGCGGCGCCGGAGGCGCCGCCAGGGGGGCCCAGGCGCGGATCAAAGGAATCCGCGCGGAGCGCCGAAAAACTATGTTTATGGCGTTGTTTCTTCTTCGAGGTAAACTCGCTCGCAGGCGCAACCGCCCGCAGGCGCAACGGTAAGCCCGCCCTTGGCAGCGGCAGCGGCGACGGCGGCGCGCGGCGGCCGCACCGCCGAGCACACTCGCTCCCGGCGGCCAGGCGGTGCGGGCTCGCGGCGCCCCCGCGGCCGGGCGGTGCCCCAGACCGGCGGCCAGGTCCGTCGGGGAGGGGGGAGGGCCCGGGTGGGGGAGATCCCCTGGGAAGGGGGGATCCCTTGGGGCTCCTTTGGGAACACCTCCTCCTCCTCCTCCTCCTCCTCCTCCTCTTCCTCCTTCTCCCTCTGAGGAGGTCCCTTTGGGGGGAACGTGGGACAGCCCCGGAGGCGGGGGAAGCCCCGTTGAGGGATCTTGTTCCCGCCGCGTCGTGGCGGCGACATATCAGCGGCCCACCTGCAGCCCTTCTACATCCTCACTGTCCGTACATGGCTTCCGCGCGCCGACCTTCAACATAACATAACTCCGCATGCCCCAACTGAGGTTGTACGTCCGCCATTGTCTCACTTCACCTAGCCAGCAAAGCGGCGTTGCTCATCTGGTGTCTGCAGCAGTGCTGTATAATCATCGATGCGCCTGCTCTTGATGTCTGACACCAGCACCTTGCGAACTCTCTGTTGCCTCTCTGATTGAGGCAGCCCCGCGAAGACGTCAGAGACGAGCTCGAGGCTGATTCTTGGAGGACCTGGACTGCCATCCCAATTCGGTTTCGTCATGTCCTCGATGTCCAGCTCACAGGGGCCAAATTCTGCCCGGAGCCTCTCCGCGATGTCGTCCCATGCGCCGAACGAATCCCCGACAGCTTGCGTGATTTCACTGGTGTCCGCTGGCCCAGGAGCACTGACAGATTGGGCGGCGTTCCCCTGCGAGTGCTGGCGATGCCGCCTCCTACGGCGCGTCCAGAGAATCCCGACGGTGAGCAGTGCAGCGCCGCCAACCGAGAAAATTATGGCCATCCACCGACGCGATGGGCCTCGCTCCGATGCTGGCGGCTCGGACATGGGAGCGGCCGGTGTGTACAGGCCTGAGGATCAGGCATGCATCGTGAGCAGAAAACTTCGGTTAAGATGGCTCCGGAGATGTGCCAGACAATCCCTCGTTTTGAGACTGTGAGCCCGCGGGCCATGCAGGCAGCCGGGCTGTGGCCCGCGCCAGCGAGAGGCGATTTCGCAGCAACGTGTGTTCTGATTCCGAGGTTCCTCCCCCGAGCCTGCAGAATGGCACCCGAAAATCCAAAAATGGGGCGAACTGAGAGGAGGCGAGGGAGAAAACAGCCAGAGGGAGCCCTTTCGCAGCATGAAGCGGGGGGGCGCTCCCAAGATCCCACCTCCATTTCTCACGGCGCTACTCCTTCTACCCCTCGTGCAGGCCTTCCCTGGACGCTTCAGAGATATGGGACCTCTCGAGATACGACGTACACCATGGAATGAGGTACACACAGGCAGCAATCTAGTCGAAGGACAAGCGCCAAACAAGCGTGCAGGAGCATATGTTGTGCAACAGGTGAGTGATAGGGACATGAACCAATACAACTGATACGTCTTCGACATAACGTGATTGGCGATGAGGATCATGACATTGATTTTCTCAGTGACGCTCTCGATCGAAATACCACGTCATATCTTGCTGCGTAACATTTTGCGGCGTCGATATCCGCGCGCATGGGGAAGCGCGTGCCATCCAACTACTCAGCCTTGTGGCCAGCGAACACGGGCCCCCAAGGAAACCAATTGTTATCCTCCCACCATGGCAAGCCAGCAGCACAACAACCACCTGCAGCCGATCCTTTTTCATGGACTCGCTGCTTGTACTGCGGAGGAGGATGGCCTCGAAATTTGACGCCTTTTCTGAGCAACATCAATGCGTTCACATAGATACGGATAGCTGTGCGCTGCGGCTGCAAACCATAGTTGAAAAAAGCAGTGAAGGACGCTGCTCGCTCGGCACGTGCATGCGGCCAGTTTTTTTGTGACAAATGCAAATGTGCACGAAGTAGAGGGGCGGCCTCTTTCGTGACCGGACACGTGTCAGAAAAGACATCGACCCATACATTCAATCCTTGAGACGAGGGCAGGGTAGCCCTCAACCGCCACCTCTGATTGAGGTCCATGAGTGGCGATACGTGTAAAGGTTTTGGCAGAGTTGCTCCGTCTAAGTCGAATGTGAAGTAAACTCTGTGATTCCAGGGCGTGTTCGTAACCTCGCAGATTCCACGACGACAAGTTCCATCACCCTCATAGCAATAATCCGCCACCGTGCCCCCCGGCACGTTGAGGCGGGGAAGAATGCTATGGGCTGTCTGGTAGGTTTTTGAACTCTAGCAAAGAAGTCCCCCCCCCTCTCGACGCAGACTGCTGCATGCATCGCCGCTTCATGCCGAGGCCACTTCCCTCGTGCCCGCTTGAGGATGATGCACTTCCCGCATGGCAGCTAATCCCTGAACCCTCATTCCATGCGCGCCCGCTCGAGGATTGTGCACTTCCCGCATGGCTGCTAACTCCCGGGCCCCATATTCCACGCACACCCGCTCGAGGATCGTGTACTTCCCGCATTCCCAGGCGCTGCTCCCAAGCGCTCCAGGGCCTCCCAAGCCACGAGCCCTCATGTAAAAACGGTGAACATGTGCCCCGAGCTTTTAGGACGGCCAGTGCAGGCAACCAAGGACACCAAGATGGCCCAAGATGCCTCGGAGACGGCCCAAGATGGCCCCAAGGCGGCGGAATAGTGATTCAAGACGGCCCAAGATGCCTTCAAGAGGGCCTCAAATGGCCGCACGATGACCTCCAATAGGGTAAGAAGAAGCCATAATCATTGAGTGCCCTGAGGTTTATGAATGATGTTCGCATTCTCGCCTTTTCGGGATGCCGTCGCTCAAGACAAAACAAGAGAACCCCACGATGGCATAAGAGGCATCCAAGACGACCCCAAGACGGCCCAAGGGGGCCTCCCGTGGAACTCAAGACGGCCTTAGAAGCCCTTCGACGGCCCAAGACGGCGCCAAGACGGCCACGCGACGGCCCACAGACACCCACCATACGACCAAGCGTGCCCCAAGATGGCCAAAGAGAGCCCCAAGCCGGCCCCAAAACGGCCCAAGAGGACCCCAAGGGATCCCCGAGACTGCCCAACAAAAGGCGAGGACAGCCCACAGGCGGCCCAGACGAATGCAACCATCATGTTCATCGTCATCATCATCGTCATCATCGTCATCATCATCGGCATCATCATCGTCGTCATCCTCATCATCCTCATCCTACTCGTTCTCCTCCTCATCATCCTCCTCCTCATCATCCTCATCACCATCATCGTCATCATCGTCATCGTCGTCATCATCATCACCAACATCATCAATATCATCATCATCATCATCACCGTCACCGGCATAAGCATCATCATCAACATCCTCATCCTCATCCACATCACAACCATCATCATGATCACCAACACCCTAGTTACCATCAGCATCACCATCACCATCACAGCTATCGTCATCTCCATATGTTTCAACATCAACCATCAACCATCAAACGTAATCATAAGCATCATCAGCATCATCAGCACCAGCGCCATCACAATCACCATGATCACCATCTTAATTCTCACCACGCTCATCATCATAATCAGCATCAGTATCGTCATCATCAGCAACATCACAATCATCATCATCACTCCAATCACCATCATCATCAGCATCAACATCATCACCATCGCTGTCATCAACATTGTCATCGTCATCGTCATCGTCGTCATCACCGTCACAACCACAACCATCATCAACAGCATCATCACTATCATCAGCATAATCATTATCGTCACCATCACCACCATCATCATCATCATCATCACCATCACCATAATCATCATCAGCAACATCGTCAGCATTATCTCGATCATCACCATCATCATCATCACCACTATCACCACCACCATTACCATATCACCACCATCACCAGCATCATCATCATCATCATCATCATCAACGTCGCCATTATCATCACCATCATCGTCAGTATCATCGTCATCATCATGCTCATGATCATGATGTTCATCATCAGCATCACCATCACCACCACCATCATAATCGTCACCATCATCATCAGCATCAGCACCAGCATCACCATCAACATCATCATCATCAGCATCACCATCATCATCATCATCATCATCATCATCATTACCATCATCATCATCTTACCATCATCATCATCGTCATCATCATCACCATCACCATCGCCATCACCATCACCATCACCATCACCACCACCACCATCATCATCATCATCATCATCATCATCATCATCATCATCATCATCATCATCATCATCATCATCATCATCATCATCATCATCATCGTTACCATCATCTTCATCATCGCCATCACCCCCTTGATCCTCAACATATTCGGCATGGCTCCCCCAAGCCTGGAGATATGAGGTGTCGCACGTGACGGCCTTCCGTGCCCCCTCGCAAAATGGTCACCCAGAATGCTGGGCCGGCACGGTCCAACATGCCTCCAAGAGGGGCGTTCGCATTCTCACCTTTTCGGGCTGCCGTCAGCTCAAGACATCCTAAGAGGACCCACGATGGCCCAAGAGGCATCCAAGATGGCCCAAAGACGGCCAAAGAGGGCCTCCCGTAGAACCCAACACCGCCTTAGAAAGCCATTCGACGGCCCAAGACGGCACCAAGACGGCCCGCGACGGCCCCCAGACACCCACCATACGGCCAAGAGGGTCCTAAGGCAAACAGATTAGCCCCAAGCCGGCGTAAGGGGACCCAAGACAGCCCAGGGGGGCCCCAAGGAAGCCCCAAGACTGCCTCACAGGAGGCCAAGACAGCCCCTCGACGGCCCAAACGAGTTCCATCATCATCATCATCATCATCATCATCATCATCATCATCATCATCATCATCATCATCATCACCATCACCATCACCATCACCATCACCATCATCATCATAATCATAATCATACTCATCATCATCACCATCATCATCAGCATCACAATCAGCACCATCGGTACCATCAGCATCATCATCAGCAGCATCAGCACCATCAGCATCAACATCAGCATCAGCAGCATCGTCATCATCATCATCATCATCATCATCATCATCATCATCATCATCATCATCATCATCATCATCATCTGCAGCATCATCTGCAGCATCATCTGCAGCAGCATCGTCAGCAGCATCCTCCTCCTCCTCCTCCTCATCCTCCTCAGCACCATCATCATCACCATCAGCACCAACAAACAGCACTATCATCATCACCACTATCAACATCATCATCATCATCATCATCATCATTGTCATCATCGTCATCACCATCATCATCTTCATCACAATCAGCGTCATCATCATCCTCATCCTCCTTCTCATCATCATCACCAACATCATCACCATCGCCATCACCAGCACCATCATCATCATCAGCAGCATCAGCATCATCACTACCACTGTCATCATCAGCACCACCATCATCATTATCATCATCACCACCATCATCATCATCGTCATCAGCATCATCTTCATCATTATCATCATCAACATCAACATCGTCATCATCAGTATCATCACCCCCATCATCCTTATTTGCTCATCGTACTCGTCACGGCTCTCCAAAGCCTGGAGACACGAGATGTCATACGTGATGGCCTCCGGTGCCGCCTCGAACAGTCGCCACCCAGAATGCTGGGCTGCCACGGCGGCGGGACCTGCCGCAGGCATCTGGATAGATTTGGATGGGGTTCTGATCGTAGCCCGTGCATGACGGAGTCGTCAGGAGGAGAACTCGACCAGTAGACCCAACCACATCTCGGGCTTCACCTGCCGACAAACGTCTACTTGGTTCGGACGCCCACCATGCCGGCGGGGAGTCAAGGTCAATAACGGCCATTCGCACCTGGTATCTGAAAGCATGCGTTCCTTCATGACTCCGTGCATGAGTCACAAATCCTTCAATGAACTCAACCCCTTCACAATCTTCTGGCTTACAGTTCACAGCCAATCTGACCAATGCGAGCCACATGCAAAACAAGGCCCGCAAACTGTTCAAACAAATCGTTACCAAAAGCTTCAGGCCTTGGCATGCAGACAGAAACTTTTTAGGCAGCGGCCTGCCCCAAGATGGGCATGCCTCCGGTAAGTATAGCGGTGCTAGGGGCTGCCAGCCCAGCATCATGCCTGCCATGCTG